TGGCACAAAATTAATCAACTTGGTTAAGTTATCCTTCAAGCATGTCTCTCACCCCCTCCCCATTTAAAAAAAGCAAACATGAAGCATATGTTCTATACAGCAATACAACAGCTTGAAGCATTTTAATTTATAGGAAAGCCTTGGGCGTCATAAATCTTGTACTGGATTGCATGCTGACCACTGGATAGTCTTCCAGTTAAGTTGGCATTTTGTGACTTGTCCTCGCCAGACAGTTTTTTAAGACTTTCCACCACATTTTGCAAAACTGCAACTGGATCACCAGATGCTCCTTTCTGCTAAGATAAAGTTCAGAAAAAGGAATATGTGAATTCTAGGGAAGTGGGGAAGGAAAAAAAAATCTACCGTAATTCCTTTTCTTCTGTTGCAATACTATATAGGGGGGGAGTAACCATTTTATTTCTTTGTTGGTAACTGGAAATTATGAGTAGTATGATTAAAGCTTACTTTGTAATTGATTGTGGAAGATAAACATTAACCAATAATAACAGAGCATTATTGAATTTTAACAGCACAGACATTGCATATCATTCTACGCACTCACCCAAACACACACATACACAAAACCTCTTCTGGAAACATTTCCAAGGAAAGAGATAAGCCGTCAAACTAAGGAAGAACCGAAAACTCTTGAAACTGAATCAGCACCAGTTCTAAAAGATGGCATAACATGATCCTTTGAATCTTGCAGCCTAGTGCTATTCCACCTCAAACAGATCTGGTTGTTTTTGAAGGAACACAAACTTCAGCCATTGTTCAGCCAGAAACCATAAGGAAGAAAATGTGCAAAACTACAAGCGCTCCTGTGGTGTCATGTTGAGGACTTTAAAAAGTCTAGCAAATCTTTAGCGGCCATGTTCTTGGAGACATTTTCTAAAAGAGAATCAAAACCTTATCCTAAGGTTTTCCTTTGCTTTCAAGCATCTTACTGACCCCAGGGGTGCCTGAAGCAAGCATGCAACACATATTTCTGCATGTTTACTTGAAAGAATCAAGATTCCTGGTAAACCCTTTTTTCTATCCAGATTTTTTTTTTAAGAAGGTGAAACAAACTCATAGATCTATGCCAGGGATGTTAGGATATCTGACTCTCTGGACCATCCTAACCTACCAATATTGCAAAGGAATATAAAGACACTTTCTATCATATTTTTAATTGAAAAATCTGTTTTTTAAAAAATGCAACTGAAGAAACCCATCTTAGGAGGCTTTACTTCATGATATTCATTCTATAGAATCACCAACATGCTTACGAACACTCAGATGCTTCCCCGCTTTGAAAAATAAATGAACACCTGAAAAAACTTTTCAATGAAAGAAGTTAAACTGTACAAAAATCAGCTTCTCAGCTTCACTGCCTTGAAATTGATTCATGTATCATTATATGCATGAAAAATTGTTCAAAAGAAGACTCCTTGCCTGCATAACTTGACAAAGGAGCTGATATTTTTTCCACAGACTCGCATGAAGCTACAGTATTCTACTCTGCTCAACCAAAATAAGCCATCTTTTTTCTGTTTTCCAAACAGAAAAGCTGATCAAACTGGAACGGCTAGCATAATAGACAGGATCATTTATCCATTTTTTAAAGAAATCTCACTTGCTACTTTTCATGATCCTTTTCCACGAAGCAAGGAAAGATTTAATTTCCTATCCAGGACCATTCTTTAGCCTATTATATATAAGCAAACAGCATCCTGAGAGTTAAGCCACAAGACATGTTACAAGATATTGGCGCCATACATTAGAGGGAATGTAGCCATAAGTTTGGTACGGGAATCTTGAAGACTGGTTTATAATGGCGAAAATAGGTAACCCATAAATTACCTAAATTTCATAGCCTAGTTTTCATTAAAATGAAGCACATGAAAGTTGAAGGCAACTTTTCTATAACTTTGTCCCACTGTTGTGCTACATTGTTTACTTTTTTGGTCTCTCACTCTCTATTTATATTAATTTTTGTTTGAAGTTTTTAAAATATTCATTAAGTTTCTTCGAAATGATTAAGTATTGCGTGCGCCCTGTGCTAAGGGGAGAAGCAGTGAATAAGAAAGACAAATAAAGTGACAGAGATTATTTTTTTCTTGTACTCATCTGGAACAGTGCCATAAAAGTTTTTAAAAAAAAATTAAGTGGTTCTCAGTGAACTGAGCAGAACTTAACATCAGGGGCCCCTTCTCGCTTGAATATTTTGAGCAACGGTTGCTATTATATGTCCTAAAGTCATTGAAAAGTAACTAAACTTCTAATTATTAGAAACTTCACTAGGCAATTTAGAAAATAACACCCTCCAAGGCTTAATATTGGATCTGTAATAATTAAGAAAGAAAGAAGCATTTGAGCCCTGTGGACTTAGACATAACGGTGAAACAAATTCAATGCATGTGAAATGTCATAATTCTAAATAAAATATTTCAGGATGTCAACGCTCATTTAAACACCTGAATAAACACCAATGATAACTTAACTTAGGGCTTGATTAGCTATATATGACAGGTGCTAGAAACATTTCAGCTAAAAAGTACATACATCAGCAAATCCCAAGGGCATGGCCTAAAATATTATTCCCACTTGGCTGGTTTTCCTTTTGATATTAGATCTAGTCAAGAATCTTTAAGTCTCCTGGCTTTTAAAGGTGAGGATGCATGTCAGTATTCGCTGAAGCAAACCGGTTTAAATATGCTTAATTTTGACTGAATCAACTGGTTGGAATCTGACAAAGTGCTTTCTAACTCTAATTTGAAATTCAAGCCATCCCAGGAGTAGAATGAATGGAAGAGCATTAAAATAAATAGCCAAAAAAAGAAAAAAAAAAGAAACAAGATTTTCACCTATGTTAAGTGTTACCAGGAAAAAGGAAGATACTCTTTTTGAAGTAAAGTATCAAACTAAAAAAAAGAAAAATGCCAACAAACCATTTTACCAGTTCAAATGGAAACTTTTTAGGGGGATACATATGAAACTCTATAGCACCATATTTATTCAGAAGCCTTTAATGGAGTTTTTATTCCAACCTTTGGGAATAACAAAAGATCCCCAAATAGTTTATATAAAACTGAACTTGAATGGTTCCAAGTATGGATAGTATTTTTTTTTCCTTTTTTTTTCTTTTTCCTTCTATTTTAAATGACCTTCACTTTGTTTTATCACATTTCTAAATCCAGTTGGATAAATCAATCCATCAATAAAATAAACTGGATACAGAAATCATAGGCACTTCCATGCATAATTTGTACATAAGATAAACAACTTTGCATAGTTTCCCCATTGGGCACTTTTTAATCAGCAACTTTGGACTACTAATAGGGATTTTTCCATTTTGGGTAAATATTCTGAGTACATAGAAGTATGAATGTCCATGTACAATAGCAGTCCATTTTATATATAAGTTTTGCTTATTTTAGTTAACTTTTGAATAGAAACAGAAGACAAGATGAGAGGATCATTAGTTTCAAAGCTGTAACTATTTAATATTATTGGCTTCTTTGTAAGAGAGCTTGGGAGACAAGATGTTAATTACTTTCTGGGAAAAATAGTGTATAAACACAAACAGAACAATTAAGAATGCTCACTTTTTTCTTACAATAATCTCTAAATAGTGTCAGTGGCAATTTAGGATAATTAAAGTCTGTGCTTAAGTATGGAAAGTCACGTGTAATCTTACAATGTTGACATTTTTGATCATGCAAGCCTTTGGTTGCATTAGTTTACCAACCCAATCTTTACCCCTTTACACAAAAGTCCTACTCGAGCCCAAGGTTCACTCCCAAGAAACTGGATCCAGAAAAAAAAAAATCTTGCACAAGTACTCATATATACTATTAAAGCAAGAACTCTGTTGAGGATTTATTTTAGACAGGACACATCAACTTGTGATGAAAAAGTTAGACTAGGGAGTGCTTTCTCACAAGAAGTCCAGAATGTCGATGGAGGTTCTTCATCATCTAGGTCATGGTTGTCCCAAGGGTGCTTTTTCAAGAGGCAACTGGACTTTCTTGGTTTTTTTATTTTTTTTGGGGGGGGGGTTGAAAACATTTCTCTACTCATCCCAAGAAGCCCCTTCAGCTCTTCTTCAGCTTCAAAGAAGCTTCTTGGATGAGAAGTGAAAAGTCTTCAAAGAAAAACAAGAAAGTCCTGTGGCCTCCTGAAAAAGCACCTTTGGGAAGAAGCTCAGAAGAGCAATTCTCTTGCAACCTTAAGAAAACAAAGAAAAAACGGTTTACTCTAGAACTCCCAAAGAGAATTAAGGCATCCCTGAGCATCAGATCTATTCTGGTACAACTCAAGCAAAGTTTGAGTTTTGAAATGTTACAGGTGCCAGTGGCAAGGACCGAAGCAGGACTTATTGGTCCCTTGAAGCAATTTAAACATAGCTTCAGTGCTGCTCAGTGGGTGTCTCTATCTATCCGTTGGTGGTCAATTCGCCACTACGGAACAACCCAGAAAGTTGTTCGAAATCCGTGCAAGTGAGCTCCGATAATATTGCTAGCATCTGCTTAGGCAGCGTTCTACGACCATGCCTGCAAAAAACCCAGCCTACCACCCCTGCAATTACTTGGCGTGCGTAAACGAGTGGCTTCTCCACCAGTTCGCCAGGCGATCGTGCGACTCTTCTCCAGCGACAAAAAAAATAAAAAAATTAAATAAAGGACTCTGAAGTTCGGTCCCTAACGAGACTAACGGCACGGTCGGACCGAAAGGACGCCTTCTTAAGCGCTCTCTAATCCCAGGGGGGAGAGTCAAGCTGCTTCTTTGCGCAGTTTACTCAAAAGTCAAGGCGAAGGGGAGGAACCGGCGGGCAGGTGGAGGGGGCGCGCTTCCCATAACTAAGCAAAGTGGGGCAAGATGGGGCAGGGCAAAGCAAAGCTGGGAGGGGGGCTAAAGAGGAGGGGGGGCTGTACGATGTTGAGCTTTCCTTGGCCGGCCAGGGGCGCTTCTCCGGCCGGGCAACACTCGCTCGCTCGCTCGCTTGGGTAGCCTACCTGTGCGCGGCGCCTTCACCTGTTGCCCGGCCGCCTCCATCCGCGAAGGGCAGCGGCTCCCCCTTGACTTCGCGCAGCACCAGCGCCTTCTCCTCCGGGCGGGGGAACTCAGCGAAGTCCCCTCCGCTGCTTCCTCCTCCTCCTCTTCCTCCTCCACCGCCGGGCCCTTCGTCCAGCGCCTCGACGTAGAAGATGGTGCGAGGAGCCGGCGGGGGACCTTGGGGCTCGGCCAGCCCATGGAGCCGGGTGGCCGGGAGCGACGTCCCGTTGAGGGGCAGGGAAGAGACGGCGCAGGGCGGCGGGCAGGCGGCGGCCGAGGACGGCGAGGGCGAGGCGGCGGAGGAGGAGGAGGACGAGGAGGAGGCGGCTTTCTTCCAGAAGGCGCCTCCGCCGCCGCCGCCTCCGCTTCGCTCCTGGCTCTTCAGCAGCCGGCTCTGGCTCGGGCCCCAGTGCTCGAAGCTGCCGTCCGGTTGCAAGCAGCCGCCCGCGGGCGCCGCCGGGTGACTGAACAGTTTCCAGCGGAGGCGCAAGATGTGCTTCACGTCAAAGTCCTTCCTGCTGGAGTTCGACATCCTGCAGCGGAGGCGGAGGCGAGGCTGGCGCGGCTTCTCCGGCGAGCCCGGAGCGTGCAAGGCAGGCAGGCGGGCGGGCAGGAGGGCGGACTGAGCTGCCGGCGTTGCTCCGGCGAGCCCGGAGGGGGACAAGGCGAGCTGCCGGCCAGGGCCTCCTCCTCCTCCTCCACCACCACAGCGCCGGAGAGTCCGCAGCGCCCGAGGCGCAGGAAGCAGCCGGGCTGCCGCCGAGCGACTGAAAGGGGAAGGAAAGCACGCTACGCCAAGTAGTAACCCTCTCCTCCTCCTCTTCCTCCTCCTCCTCCTCCTCTCCCCCCACCCACTCGGCTCAGCAACGGCGGCGGCGGCTGCCCATGGAGCGCCCCGAATTTTGCGCTCCGACCGGGAGGAGGAGGAGCGGAGGCACCGCGCGCAAAGTTGCCGGGCTTTTAAGCTCTGGGGTTAGTAGCTGGGGAAGACGGGGAGGGGAGAGGGAGGGCGAGCGAGGGTCTTTTCTGAGCAAGGGGGTGGGGGAGGATGCTAGTGCTCCCTGGCGCCCCCAACCGGGCTGGCTTCTCCGGCGTCGGTTCTGCTTTCTTTCCAAGCGCTGTCCAGCACCGAGCCGGCTCTCTTGAGAGCATCCTTGGAAGAGACGTCTAACTGGGGGGGGGGCGGCTTTTCGAGCAGCGTTCAGCCTCATTAGGATCCCCATTGCCTGTCCCAGTTTCCCTCGGGTTCCCCCCCCCCCGGTTTCAAAAGTCAGCCTGGAGAGACCCACCCAAGCGGGATCCCCCCAAGAGCACGGAAGCCTGTTTTTCCTGACCTGAGTCCTGAATCAAGATCTTGAAAACCCGGTGAGCCCTGAGTTTATTTCTCATCTTCCTTCCTTCCTTCCTTCCTTCCTTCCTTCCTTCCTTCCTTCCTTCCTTCCTTCCTTCCTTCCTTCCTTCCTTCACCACAGCGACCCGCTCTTCACCCGAATGAATTCTGAACGAGCTTTTGATCCGGTTGACTCCAGCCAGCATTTTTAGGCTGCCCAGAGCTTCCTGGACTAATTTGCCAGGATCTTCCCAGACAAAATCTTCTTGTTCAGAACTCTTTAACTCCTAAAGCCACTTCCTGAAATGGATGTTGTGAGTTAGACTGGTTCAAACCTGACTCTTCAGCTTGGGAACATTTTGTCCACCCAAACTCACCCCGTGAGGTAATGAAGCCTCTATTCTAGATCCCTCTCTCCCTCTCTCTGACTACATGCAAAGTTTTGCCAATGGAGGATCATGCTAATTTTCTCTTCCTTTCCACCATCCCATTTTTATCCAATGCTGTTTAAACATGAATCAAAAATAAAACTAAGTTCTGCAGTAATTTTAAGAGAACTCACGATGGTGTGAACTTTAGAACTATTTTATCCCATCTCATGTAGAGATAAGGTTGTGATGTGTCTGCTAACTGAAACCTTATCTGTTTGGGATTTACCTCCACATGAATATTTGTCAGGTCACCCAGAAACTTGAACAAAGCTTTATTTCAGGAATAGTAAATCTATCAAAAGAAGTTGAGGCAACCAAGAAGACTACATTCTGTGGATATGTTGATGCACCAAGAACTAGATTCAACTTGAAGAAAACTTTACTCATTTCTCTGGAGATCCCACTTTCCCAACTAATAGAAAAATGTGCTTGGATTTAAGGTGGAACTCCAGTTTCAAGGGTTTGGAGGATTCATCCATGTTGTCATCTGGTGACTATCCAGGAGCCAATGGGTTCTTTAGGAATTAGAGATTCAAACCAGGTGAGATTCTAAAAAAGAACTTTAATTGAATAGATATTGGGACTTACAGAAAAAAAGAAAGATCAACCAATCCAGATCCTTCAGTTTGCTTGGAAACTCGGGAATGGCAGCAGATGGAAACTCGATAGCCAGCATTTGCCCAGCATTCTCCTAGCACCTTAGGAGTCTACACCAAAGTTCAAACTCTGTAGGATTTGGCAGCCCCTTGTACTAAGAAGAGTAGTATAAATATCCCAAGCATAATTTTAGTGAAGGCAAAGTCTTCTGCAGGCAGGCAGCTGAGATGGTCTGATGACATAGCTGGACAACAATTTTGGAACCTAGAAAAATAACACTTTGCTAAGAATAAGTTTATGGGGACAGTGTTGCAGAATGCAGCCATTACTCCTACTCCCCTCAGCTGCTGTTAAATTAGGGAACTGATGTTTGTCTTAATTGTTACAAGGAGAAATACAGACAAGGGGCTCCCAAGCAAGAATGATTAACAACACAATGGTGCAGCCCACAAACCTTGCTGAATATCCGCTAAGTACACACATGGGAAAACATGCCATATAAGCTTGCTAAGTTATCTTGTATCAGCTGGATACTTCAGCACAGCCGTCTCTTATATATGCAAAAGGGAAAGCAAGTTTGTTGATGCCACTTGTTCCTCACCAAGTGTCCACGGGGCCAGGACATTGCTTTTAACTCCTCAAAACCTCTGCTCATGCTTCAGTTTCTTTTCGGCATGCTGCAACTAAGCAAAAAAAACCCTAAGCTGCAATAGTGATTTCCCCCTTCCCCAAAAGTAATTCACCACTGGCAAAAAAAACAACAACCGTAAGCAACTGTATCAATCATATTCAAACAACCTGGATCTGGGCACAGGTTGCCCAAATTATTAAGCAGTTTTATGTTTCTAACTGGGAAAATATGAAGTGCTTTACATTGAAAGTGCAGAGCATGCTTAGGACTGCCCTTCCACTATGCAGACTATAGAGAATATGATATCCAATCCCAATGTTGTCAGTGGTCTAGGGATATTTATCTACCTGGTGGGTGAGAGGAGGGCAAAGATTGTATTGTGCAATTGGGATGTTATTACGGGAGGAACGGCTTTGTGGTTAGATGCTAGGAGAGAACTGGTGGGAACCGTGTTACACTGCATTAGTTTCTAGCTCATAAATCATCATCTGAAATGCATGCACGACTAGAGGCGATAAAATGATAAACAGAGTAACAGCAAACCAGTTTTCTTACTGTGTTTAAAGGTGGAGAACATGTCTCCCCTTTTAGATGAATGAATATATTGATACAGTAACTATAAAGACGTTTCATTCTTCTTCTAAAATGCAGCCCAATTAAACACCATTATAAGTTGCAGGCAATGCAATTGACAGAAAGTACAAAATAGGTTTCCTAATTCAGAGTGGGATATTTTTGGCCCATTCCTAAAAATAAATAAATAAAAAAATAAAAAAATCCCATCACATACAAAAATAAAATTCAAAGCACAAATGTTGACACTTGACTAATAGTTCCAGTTCTGTTTGATTTAACAGCCAGCTAAATGAACTCAGTTAGAAGCTTGAGTTGAGGTTGGCTTGTTTCTCTGTTGTTGGTTTCTGGAAAGGCTACATGTATTTTAGCATAACAAAAAATTCAGGTCGTTCCCAATTCACAAGGGGGAAAAAAGTACCTTTCCCACATTTTAAATGTTAGTTTATGCCAACAGCTGATCAATAATTCTCCATCCTCAAATTTTTCAAGGCAATGCATGACACTTAGAAATTAATAATTTTTTTCAATTGGTTTCATCCAAGACATCAGTCAGCTGTTAAGGACAAATACATAAGGCCTATTAAAATGAATGACAGCTAAAAAAAGTGATAGCATCCCATTTCATTTGAGTGGCAGAAGTGAGGAAAGCTGTTGATTTAGAAAACTAAAAAGTCTCGGGAAAAAATGCAGTGCAAAAATATTTCTATACTGTTGCTAAGAAAAACCACAAAAGTATGTTTGTATTCTCACCAAGAATCAATTTAACAATTGCCACCAACATTAACCTAAATATTTTTTTCCTTTAGGTTTAAATTGTGAGCATTAACATAGGATACTAGCTAAAAGTGTAGAATGAAAAATGCATTCAACGTCAGCAGTAGAATTAATATTGTGCAACAAAAAATTCTGGACTGAACAGAAAATAATGTTTTGTTGCCAGTTATAATTCATAAATTGGGGAAAATTCAATAAACTCTCTTCATACAACAGTGAAAATACAATAATGTGTTGGAAAGAATTCACTTTTCTATTTTAAATCTTCCATAGCCGTCCTACTTTATGTACATACAGAAGTAAGTAACCATGAGTTCAAAAGCTAGTACTACTGAGAAAATGTATATAGGATTGCAGTATTAAATTAAATGCTAGTAGTCCTAATAGTTACAAATCTACAGTTTGTCTGTTCCCAGTGATAGTTCTAAGAATAAATAGCACTCACAGGTACACAAAACATTGCAGTGCTATACCATTTGAATGTGATGTTATTTTATATCAATAAAGAATTGCAATCTTACAAGAGCTGCAGCATTTGTGTTGGTGATCTGGGGTCATTTTGATAGACATCTGCCAAAATAAAAACGGTAAAATAACATGAATGAGCAACATAATACAATGACATAATGCTGTGCTCTTTTCAAAATATAAAGAGGTTAAGGTAAAAGATTCCCGGTCCAGTCATATCTGACTCTAAGGCAGTGCTTTTCAACCTTTTCACCCATTGTACCACTTTTAGGATATGGCAATATCCGAGTACTACCAGTCGCCTAGCAAGGTGTCAAAAACTTGATGACCCATAAAAAAAGGAAAAAAGTGATGAAGAACAGGTAGTCCTCGACTTACAACAGTTCGCTTAGTGACTGTTTGAAGTTACAATGGCACTGAAAAAAGTGCCCCCCAAGCCACAGCCGAGCAAGACACCTGCCTGCCCACCCGGCGGCGCTCTTCCTCCTGTCCGAGGTTTTCATTGTTGTGAGCATTTCTGTTGAGGATTGGCAGCGGGGGTGGGGTGGGGGGTGTTTGGTTTTTATTCCCCCCCCCCCGTCTGCTGGTTGGTTGCAGCAGGTTTTGGTCACTTCACATGACCCTGGGACACTGTGACCGTCATAAATACAAATCAGTTGCCAAGCATCTGAATGTAAATCACAAGACCCTGGAGATGCTGCAACATTCCAGCTGATCGGCGCTTC